GGGACTTTAACAGAGAGAAGTGAGAGAAATACAGGAGGGTCAGGGGTTAAACCAGGCACATGAACATAAAAAGTATTTAATTAGGTAGAAAGTTGACAAAATGATGATTGAGTGATCGATTTTTTTTTAAAAAAATTGTTTTGATTCTTGAGTAAAATTGGACAAATAAGTTAAAAGGAGCGCAGATAGACTATGAAGCTACAGGTTTCACTATTTCAAAGTTGAGCAAAAAAATTACCACCCATGTTAACCATCAGAATCTTCTCTTTAAATCTTATATGCAGCAATAGAAGAAAATTCGATTTTCGTAATTTTTAGGAGACTCCTATATAAATTGCAACACATACAAAGCATTAAAATTGTACACGAAGAAAAAACGTGATCGCATCACATAAGCTGTAGATGCAAAACAATTGCAAGATCTTGCAATCAACGATATGCATGAAGTGATTTTCAAGAGTTAAGATTTCCCCTTTGCTCATCGCTCCAGAAACCTAGAATTTTCAAAATTTAAGGCCTTTCTTTTCGTTATCTCTTTAAAAACTTGGACAAGGTCAAAGGATGGATCGGACATTTTTGCCACCAGGCAAACATGCCGGATCGCAAGAAACAGCGTATGAATATTCAAGAGTTGCCAAATTTCCCCGGTTTAAACGAATATTTTGGAGGGCGGTCATGCATATTTTCCCTTGAAATTTCATGATAATGTAGGAGGTAATGTACTAATCCAATTCTGTACAAAATTGTCTGAAAAATGAGACGAAAATTATACGGCAGTTTCCTTGGAAATTTGTATTTTATCGAAGGAATTTTGGCAACGCCTGAAGGCACATACGGCTTTTCTCCTTAGCATGGCAAGATAAATGATGTCTCATACCTGCAGGCACTGTTTTTAGGGTGACTTGTTCAGAGGTTAATGTGCAGTGATTCAGCCAAGCAGTGGTATCATTCAGCGTATAGCCGGCTATCTTTTGGCCCTCGATTTCAAGTATGATGTCTCCTTTTTTCAGAGTCCCATTGATCACATTGATCTTCCCGACTGTTACATCTTGAACGTAAACAAACTCTCCGTTGTCAGAACCACCAGCGACCGAAAAGCTCAAGCTTCTATTTGGAGACGCAGCGATAACAACTGTGTTCAAGTTGTTGCACCAGTGAATTTTCTCTTTGTTGACGAGTTTGGATGACGAGGATGCTGTATTCGGCCGGTCTTGGCCAGATTTGGGCATTATGACATTTTTTTACCAGAGTTCTTTTTTACACCAAAAATGCAACCTGAGTCGAGCCTTCACCAATTCCAGTTTCAGATAACTTGAGCCATCTTCAAACACCTGGAAAAAAAATGGAGGGTAATGAATGGCAAATCACCAAGAGTATCGAGAAGAAATTATGCACATCACTGGTCTGGACAGGGACAGACCTTGTAAGGTGTTCGCTGTTTAATAGTTCTGTGCAATTTTTGGCCTTCCGAACTAATCGGCCTCGTGTGGTGTGGTGGATATAGCGTAGCGCTGGCCCTGTGATCAGGAGGTCCCGGATTTGATTCTCGGCCAAGGGGCCGGGAGTTCGAAAGTCTCAGGCAAAGATCACGTGGGACTGGGTGTGAAAGGACTTGAAGATTAAATGCAGGATTAGCACTGAGGACTTTTAAAAAAATATTAAACAAAAGTTTGTCAGGGACTGACCTAGGTAAGTCGGTGTATTTTTGAGTCTACTTTCAGATTCGATTATAATGAGAGGTCAATCTTTCACAATTCAAAAGTTACTGCATAAGAGAAACACTTTCCTACTTAGGTTATAAAAAAGTCTGAAAAAAAACCAACAAAAAACTGACAGATTTCAATTGTTACAGAACAGTTACTTCTTAAAATTCATTCAGGCTACAGTGAAAAAATGTCTTGAAAGAGACTGACCTACTCTCTAAAGGGCTCTGAGACATTTTCAAAAACATTTTCTGTGCGATGACAGAAGATCCTAGAGGGCTGAAATTTAATGCAAAGACTCTAAATTGTTCTAGTTTGATCTCAAAACAGGAAAAGTTCATGCAACGAAACCTCATGAGTCATATTACTTTAGTATCCCTCGTACAGCAACGGCGAAGCAATTTGTAAGAATGATTCATGAATAATTTCAGTGAAAGAGCCAGCAATATTAAAATGGGCAGATTTTAGGAACTTTATCTCTAACGATTTCTTTTGAGAAGTTTTTCATTGTGTTATGATCAAGAGAAAAAGAAAGGAAGAAGTACATTTTATCCAAAAAATTGGCTGGACATCAACAGATGCTTTAAAAAAAGAGAAGAAAAGGCGGGTAGATTTACAGTTCAATGACTGCATTTATATTATAAGGTGCCTAACCCCTTTTCTTGCATACCAGCTTGACTTCATTGTGCTGTAGTTTCGCCATTGCATCTAAGAAATCATATACGTGTATTTAGGTTCGTGATACTAAATATTTCCATTCGCATTTCATTTTTTCGAATGACAAATGGACGTATTTCTACCAAACCGAATTATGTGCATTAAGACATGAACCCTGAGACCCATAAGCATATGTGCATAGCATGATAGCAGGGCTCACGTCATAATGCACATAGTTCCGTTTGATGGAAGTAAGTCCAAATGGTCATCCTTGTTGTTCTGAACTTCGTGCGATTCATCAGGATAGTTCTTTAAAAAGTTCGCACTTACACGCCAAAATCAGTTTTTACGGTGAAAAAACCCAAAGGATGCAAATAAAGGGCGATTCGTCAAATTAGGTTGGAGGAAACTCAATACCTCATTTTTTCGCGATTTAGAGGGCCGCTAACGCTGCATTTAATTTAGGTAATTAAACCTCATCGGCACGATTGGCAACGCTGGAATTAAATTAAGGTGCGAAAGAAACAATCAGAGCTACAGTTAATGTTGCACGCGATAGATGCGAAGCAAACATCATAACGCCTGGATGCAACTATTCGGGCTCTGTGGATGTCCTTGTTGCAATGTTGCATACGCAGAGTTGAACAGGGCCGAATTAAGGGGGAGGCCACATGGGCCGTGGCCCATGGAGGCAAAAGGGGGCGGCAAATTTTGCAATTTTTTTAAATAAAGCTACAAAGAAAAATCGGATTCAGAAAAAATAAATACGAACGAGAAAAGGTGACAAAATCTCTCATTTCCTGAGAGTATATCTCTAATTTTGTCGTCTTTATGTGATACAATAGACAGCACCTTTAATTAGTCGAGTTAAGACTAAGAGAGAAACCGCACACGGAATTCGGCCTGGAACGGCGCGGCGCAGAGAGCAATGATGACGAGAACGTGAGATGAAAAGGAGAAACCCTCGGCGCGGCGGTCGGCATGTAACACATATTAGCGCCTACAAGACTGCATGAATACTTCACGCATTGCGCCAAAGACAGTGCGGTCAGCAGCGGCCCAGCGAGCAGCGTGAAACGCATAGCGCCTACAAGAATACTTCACGCATTGCGTCAAACACAGTGCGTGCAGCAGCGGTCGGCTCGAAACGCGCATGTTAGACTGTAGGAATACTTCACGCATTGCGCCAAACATAGTGCGGTCAGCGCGGCGCGGCGGCGGAAGTTAAAATTATTAAACCACATTTATGTTTGTTCTTTCATAATTTTTTCGTTCATTTCTTATAAATGGAGGGCATTGTCCATACAGAGATAGGTTTACAGAACTTAACTTTCGCGCAAAGTTCCGTGAAATTTTGCTAGTGGTGTTGACAGGGCTTTCGCAAAAAATGTATCCAACACGAGTAGGTAAACGTATCTTATGCACCCCTCCCCCTCCGGTACGTTCACTTGATGGTTTTTATTGATGTATCAAAACGAATGAGGAGGGGGCGGCAAAATACAGGAGGCCCATGGGCGGCAAGTAAGTAAATCCGGCCCTGGAGTTGAAGGCATTTTGAATTCGGATACCAACCGCCACTCCAACGGCGCTTAATGAAAGCGAGTTAATTAGAGGAGTCGAACAAAATGTGGAAACATTGAAAGCTTATATTGATGTTAATACGAAACGTAAAGATTTCAAAAGGGGTTTCATTGATTTTCTCGTAAAAATTTCCTTTGATGAGAGGCATTCCATACAATTAATGTTGCGAAGGAATTTACAGCGAAAGTGGCAGTTTTGATCGAAAAGTCCATATCCAACCTCTCTGAAAGGCTCGTTTCATTATTCGACGGACTTTACTGCGAGGATCTAAAATAATAGAATGTCTTCAATTCTTCATTTATCCTTCGCAGACATCTTTTCGGTAATACACTTGCCCTAGAGATTATACTCAACACATCGCGGCATCAAAACTGATGCACAGAATATACTCACATCCTACGCCTGTATGCGACCATTCGTGTCCACGAGATATCATTGTAGTAAAAGCAAAGAATTGAAAGCGCTCTGCTATTTCAGATCCTCGCAGGAAATTGCCGTGCCAAGGAAAAACGCCGTATGAACCTTCAGGCGTTGCCAAATTTCCTTTCATAAAACACGAATTTTTTGGTAGGTAAACTTATGAATATTTTCCTTTTACTTTTTCACATAATTTTAATCGCAATTTCACCTATAGTTCTTGAAAATGTCAAGGAAAAATATTCATAATTTGCCTCAGAAATAAACGTTTTTTTAAAATTAATCCTGAATTTTCATACAGCGTTCTTCCTTAGCACGGCAATATAGCCAGCTGTTGGCGCCGCGACACAGTCAAAACGCCTTCACACCCGTGTGTATGCAACATGGACATCCATTAAGCCCGAATAGTTGCATCCCAAAGTTAGAGTGTGTTTTTCGTCGCATTCGAGGCTAAATATGGGCGCTCTGCTTCTTTCTCTTGCGACGTACCTTAATTCTAACGTTGCCTATTTTGCTGATAAAGTAAGCTGTATATAATTTTTTTTTTTTTTTTTTTTTTTTTTTTTTTTTTTTAAATCAAGGAATTTCATAGGCTTAAATCTGATTTAAGGCAAATTCTCAAACGAATCGCTAAAAAAAAATTGGAAAGAAAAAAAACTTTGTGAGAATCAGCCTGATGGATATCCATACCTCACAGGTACAAGAAATCGATTCTTTTATTAAGAATATAGGTCTGTGCATTCATTCACTTCCTGCATTTTATTGTTCTTCATAAAGACTGAGTGAATTAATTGTTTGTGATGAGAAACAAATTTATCGAAAATCATTGAGAGTTAGGAGCAAGCAGATGCAAGTAATGACACATATCTTTGCTGAGTAGAGAAACATTTCCAAGTCAGTATTGATTATTTTTGTATAATACGAATAATGAGAATAGAATTAAAATTTTGAAACTTTAGGTAATCAAGTTATTGATAGCTCCATGTGATACGCATATCTCATTTAGAATGCTTAAAAGTTTCTAATTATGTTTCATTTTCGACAAGGAAAACTAGTGAAAATACTCCTTTTATTTGCAATTTTGTATGATTTATGTAAAATGAGTGAAGGAAATTCAGACTAAGTTTCAGAAGAAGCCAGAGGCCAAATCTTCAAAAATATAACATGAGCAGAGAATAACGACGTTGTAATCTGAGATGCGTATTTCTTGCATTTGGCCATTGATATTTCAGGGCCGAAAATAAGTATGAAGACAGTAATTTCGGTTGGCGAAGTCTCTGTTAAACTTCACTCTTTTAAGAGAAAACAAATAATCATGATTCTATGAAATTTTTAGGGTTTTTTTTGCCCTTTAAGGAATGTTCACTAGAAATTCCGAGAAAAATTCCTTGTAATGTCCCCTGGGAGAGGAAAGTTAAATAAAGTAAATTTTGAGAGAATGCAATCCGAACATTGCTGGCTAAGGTGCAGAAATAAGTAGCTCGATTTGTGGTGTTGCAAATTTCTCCTGACAAAATATTTATTTACAACAGAGCTACCCAGAATTATTCCGTAAGACTTTAAATTATCTTTCTTAACTTGTTGAAGTATACTGAATTAAAAATTAGAAAAATTAAATACGTTACTTTTTCTTTAAAAAATAAAACAGCAGCGGAGATTTTTAAATGCCCAGATCAAGATAAAGGTTTCTGCACTTGGTTATCAATATATATTATTCTAGTAAGTGATCTTAGCAATCAATATATTTTTCTTTTCTTTTACCAGCCAGAAATATTTTATTAGAATGGTTGAAGGCTACAATAATCGTAGCATTCGCTGTTATAATTTCATAAAATATCAAGCCATGATGTTGGTTCAGTCTTTTTTTTAGAAAATAAAATAAGAACGGAGATTATAAAACACTGCAACTGTAATCCACATTTTTGGAGTTTCAATATCAATATGCCTACTTATAAGGAGGTGCTCTCAAACCACCTAAGTAGGTAATCTGTTACAAACTGTTCAGAAAGAACTTGATAAAGTAACCATCCTCTCATCAAATATTTATCAAATGGTAGGATCAACAGTTGGAGATGGACTAAGTAATGAATTTATTCATCTCCATAACTATTATCCTTGACAAGTGAACTATTTACGGAGGAAACACAAATCCATAAATTTGAAGGAGTAAATAATTACTCTCTACCTTCACTCTCCATGGATGGTGACATAAGTTTTAAAAAAATTTACAAGATAAATGTGAATTAACTGTTAAGGGCTCGGTTTTCAGGTTAGTGTTCCAGGAAGATTAACGGTGTGGTGAAACAAATATTGTCTTGCAAAAGACTGGTACTCATTGCTCCAAAAAAGAATAGCTGATTAAGTAGGTAAATACTTCACAGCTAATTTCTTGAAGACACATTAAAGAGTGCAGAAAGCGCAGGACCTCTCAGAAAATACTTAATTTTAAGTAAGAAGAAGAATTTGTTTATTGGGGGGTAGGGGGGAGATAAGCTGCATTCAATCTAACTGACATATCATGTTCTTGAATTCCTTGAATAAAAGTGGCAGTTCGTGTTGAATGTAAGAACTCGGACTGCCTAATCCTAAGAGTTAAAGAAACACCTCACGGAATAGTCAATACACCTCTAAATATACTCATCAGTATAGCATGAACTGAAATTAGCTTAGCGAAAAAAAACTCAGGTAGGTATAGGTTTCCTAATTTATGTCATTCCTTCTAGCATTACCCAATTCAACTGACAGCTCATTAATTCTGTGTACAATGCAGGTCACTCTAGTCTCTTACAGTAACGCAAGTAACAAAACTCAAAGTGGAATCCTTAAACTATGGATGGACAATGCGTGAAAGGACCAGTCTTCTGCAGTTTCTGATTGAACATAGGCAGGAAGATAACTTCATGGAGGTGTCGTCAGCTAAGTTAACGGTTGTTTACTTTCGGTTTGCAAGCGCCAACAAAGAATTTCGGCCTCTGCACAAAGCAATGTTCGCTACTATCCACCTTGAAAACAGCCAGCTCATGACCGTAACTTTAAAAAACTACTTATCAGTTATGATTCGCGACTTTTATGTGGTTGAGATTTCTGTATGGCTAAAATTTAAGTGCTACAAGGTTTGAAAGTATTAAAAAACTTATCTAAGCTTGTGGTCTTGCATCTGCAAGAGTCTGATATTTTCATGTCGATAGTGGTGATGCAAAAACGCTTGCAAACCAAAAGTAAACAACAGTCAACTTAGCCGACGACACCTCTAATTTCCAACAAATTTGAATAAAACACCTCTGCTTCTCTTCTCTCTGATAATAAAAATAAGTACAGCTAAAAAATGAAAACTGGCGATGAGTTTGAGGAACTACTATATCTGATTGATAAGAAATTCAATTCCGAGATTGAGATTGACCTGCATAGATGGGTAGCAACTCGGGCCTCGGAGTGGATGTACAAAATGACAAACGCAAATCAACTTCCTGAATTTCTGATTAGACATTAGAAGACAATAAAAGCACTATTTGCCACAGGTCCTAAATTGAGAATAGTTTGATAGATAAGGAATTAGTAAGAGAAGATGTGTTGATTCTTTCACTGAGGCACACTTTTCGAATGTAGAGCAACGGAGACATTGTTGACGACCTGGCTAAGGATGTTGTGAGAGAGTCTCTTGACAGGTGGGGGGATAATACATAGTAAAGTTCAAAAATAGCGACAAGATATTAACTGTCCAGTATTTAGGGTCAATTCAGGGCAAATTTGTCTGTAAAACTTGAGTTGGAAGATTGTAAATAATGACAACTGCAGTCCAATTAACCTAGAAACCATACAAGGCAGAATGATGCTCTGAGTTATGACGATAATACTCACGAAAAACATGATGAAATTAAGAACTAAAAACGCCAAGATGAGCTGAAACACTTGATAATTTATCGGAAAACACAATTTTCTATTGCACTCCGCTGATTCGAGTGAAAATTAACAACAACACACAAACTGATGAACACAAACGAAAACGTAAATAGGCAGTTCACAGGTGGCGACTGGCGACAGTTGTACTACGATGACGTCAACAGCGCCTTAGTGATATGCAATTTTCTGTACTTTTCAACGCGCTCTATTAGAAATTTCTCTAAGTTCTTGTTGGAGGTGCAGCTAGGTGCAGCTGCGCTGCGAGGCTGCGACGCGACATGCACATTCATTGTCAGTGCACATTGCACATGCACACATACTCACAGAGGACAAGGGTCGCACTGCAATTTTACCGGTGGGAGGGAGGGGGAGCAGTGAGCACTCCATAATCGTCTACTGAAAGTTTAAATATTCGCTTTTTCCATGATAGTGTGATGTAGGTACTTGTGTAATTCGTCTTCATGTACTACATGCATTCTTCAAAAATCTTGCTTCACACTAGGGTAGGTAAGTATTATATCGACCCTAATACTGCCGTGCTGAGGAAAAAGGCCGTATGAACATTCGAGAGTTGCCAAATTTCCCTCGATCAATTTTTATTTGAAGGAAAGTTATGAATATTTTTCTTTGAAATTTTCAGGAGCTTATGGTGAAATAGCAAAGAAATTATCTGAAAAATTGGAAGAAAAATAGTCATAAGTTTACCAGGAAATTCGTGTCTTATCAAAGGAAATTTGGCAACGCCTGAAGGTTCATACGGCGTTTTTTCTTAGCACGGCAGAATATCGACGGTGAAACTCTCAAACCATGCGCATCTCATTTGCGGAGTTTAAAAATGTCCGCTCCCATTTTCTTTTTTTGTCTGAGAGAGGATCAAGATCATTTCGTGAAGATTTCACAGAAATTTCTTCGCGCAGAGGAGAAGAGCCACGGAAAGGTCAAAGAATGAATAGGTACGTTGAGAATTTTTTTTCTTTTTAAAAGAAAAAAAAAAAAATAAAGTATGACAGGAAGTCTGCAACGTCACAAACCGAGATATGATGTGGTTTGCCAGATTCACCGTCGATATATTATGTAAAGAGATCCCGGCGCAATATTTATCGATTACCTGCGTGTAAAATTTCAGTTTTTTTTCTTTGTCAATGTCTCCCCCTTTTATTTCATGCTCATTTGTCGACTGAAAAGAAAAAAACAACTTTCTGTCATGATATCCTCATTATCTTATATTATTTGGACTGAGTTAAGCAGAAAGGAACCAACCCACATTTTGGAAAAAATTGAGTTATGAGTGGTTTTGAACTCAACCACTGCTCTACTATCTATCGCCAAAAATTCAAAGTTTTTGATGGAGCAAATTTTGCAGAAATTGAACTCAAAGTTTATCTTTTACATTGAGTCTTATGCAGGAGCCAAACTTTAAGGCTCTTTTTCTCGGTTCGATCCCGATGTGGCTTGGTTCCTTTCTGTTTAACTCCGTCCATTTAACCCCTGATCTGATTTAATTATCATACAGGCATCGAATTAATTTGAAGAGGACACTATATGATTCAAACGAATAGTTTAATTAGAATTTTTGGAGAGGAGGGTATAAAAAGGTGGCATCAGTGCTTCGCTGAATCTTTGAATTGTTACAGTTTATCACTCGATATCTACTTTAAACCCACAGAGCGGGAGCAGTGGGACTGTTTTTTTTTATTTAAAATTTATATAAAATTTATGCAAGTTCGTGACGTGACGTTGAAGAAACGTTGCGCTAAAAACGATCCCTAAGTGACAGAGATAGCACCGTTGCTTCAAGTCCACTTTTACTTCGAGCAACTGTTCGAACTCCCCGGAGATCAAATTGCATATCCGACGAAATGAAGGAACTTTGAATGGCCTCGGTGACGCTTGCCTCAGAAATCGAACCGACTGAGATAGCCGTTGCCGCAAGTTACTTGCATATCGATGACCAAATTACAAAACCACGTATGTTCATTTGCAATGTTACAGATTTCCCGTCATTCTTATTTTCTGCTTCCTTAGAATCCTAGGGAACGTATAATTTCTTGAAAACTTCCTAGATTTTTCCTCCGAGTCAGCAGAGTGTCTTGTATAAATTTCAAATTTAAAAGTTGGATTGTTTCTCGTCGAGAAGATGTGATAGGAGCGGTCATTTTGACGTCGCGATGAAGATGTGAAGTTTTGCACTTAGGCCGCCGATATCCAACGAATGACATCGATAACACTTGCCTGAGGAATCGAGCGTGAGAGTGGTAGAGCCGTTACTTTCAGTAGACTGCCTCCTCGAGCAACTATTCGAACTCGCCGGAGATGAAATTGCATATCCGATGAAATGAAGGAATTTTGAATGTGACTCTTGCCTGGGGAATCGAGGGTGGAGCCGCTGCTTTAGGTAGACTGCCTCCTCGAGCAACTATTCGAACTCTCCGGAGATGAAATTGCATATCCGATGAAATGAAGGAATTTTGAATGGCTTTGGTGACTCTTGCCTGGGGAATCGAGCATGAGAGTGGTAGAGCCGTTGCTTCAAGTAGACTGCCTCCTCGAGCAACTATTCGAACTCCCCGGAGATCAAATTGCATATCGACGGTGAAACTACCAAACCACGTATCTCGATTTGCGACGTCGCAAACTTCCTGTCATACTTTATTTTTTAAATAAAAAACCACTCAACGTCCATTCTTGAAAATTTCTGTGATTTTTCCTCTTCGTGCGGAGAAAATTCTGTGAAAATTTCAAGGAATGATATTGATTTGGTCTACTTCAAAAAAATAAAATGTGAGCGTAGATTTTTAAACACCGCAAACGAGATACGTGGTTTGGTAGTTTCACCGTCGATATCCGATGAAATGAAGGAATTTTGAATGGCATTGGTGACTTTCGCCTGAGGAATCGAGCATGAGAGTGCACCGAAAAAAATAATATGCTGTTTTAGCACCTAGGATGTTAAAAATGTGTCTGGCGATCCGGTGTTGTTGTCCTTACTGCCCTCGCAGTTAACTTTACATTCTGTGAATGCAAATTTAACTCTAAAGGCAGTTAAGGCAGCATCTTGAGATTACCAGACACTTTTTTAACATCCTAGGTGCTAAAACAGCATATTATTTTTTTCGGTGTGGTGGAGCCGTTGCTTCAAGTAGACTGCCTCCTCGAGCAACTATTCGAACTCTCCGGAGATGAAATTGCATATCCGATGAAATGAAGGAATTTTGAATGGCATTGGTGACTTTCGCCTGGGGAATCGAGCGTGAGAGTGGTAGAGCCGTTGCTTCAAATAGACTGCCTCCTCGAGCAAGTATTCGAACTCTCCGGAGATGAAATTGCATATCCGATGAAATGAAGGACTTTTGAATGGCGGCCTCGATGACTCTTGCTTCAGGGATCCAACCGAAGCTGTTAGCGCCGTTGCTGTACGATACACTTTTTTTGAAGTAAGCATCTATTTTATATCCCGAGGAAAGACATCGTATATTTATATGACGAGGGTCTTCCATGAAAGATGATCCTTGAAAGGATCTGCTAATTAGTAGATTCAAGATTGATGAATATGCAGAAAATGAGAAAATGAGAGAGAGAGGAATGACGGTTTTCATGTTTTATAATTCAATATCAAACTAATACTTGCATGATAGAGGGGGAAAAACTCGACGGAGCAACATTTGTCTTGTATAGATACGCCTCATGGTGCATCTTAGTTAGGACCGATCAGGAAGGCAACTGGATTTGGGTCTGATTGGTCCCATCCACGGCACAAAGCAACCTTAACTGATTGGTTTCCACCAAAGCCAAGGAAGTCATGAAAACCGAGCCGGGATTGGAACTAGTGGCGTGGCGGGAATGGTCGGTAATCGATATTTCTCATTTTCAAGCTATGGATAAGAATCGATCATTAAGGTGTTCGTTGCGAATACCTTGTATATCGATCCTTATTATAGGTTTCAATGGCAGATCAATCGATATACCTATCGCGCCACGCCACTGATTGAAGCAGCAGCGGCCCGCAAACAGACTTTCCACCACCTAGTGAGATATCCAGACAGTTCGAGCTGTTCGCACTAACGAAAAATGATAGAAAACAGAGGAGAATTGTTCTCTTATTTTCCTTGCACACGCGTCAAAATAAAAAGAGTTATTCTTTTCGGATTGAAAACATGACAAATAAAGATAAGAAATAAATGAATGTAAAGAAATCGAGACAAGATCCCCTAGCCCCTTCTCTCTGATATTTTATCGCCAAGAGGGGGGAGCACCAATCAAAAGTTCACTCGTCTTTATGTTGTTTTCTGAGATATCCGGTCATAATTTTTTTATCTCACTTCTTTTTCCTGTGTAACTAACTTAGTCCTCTGAAGTTTATTGAACGTTTACGTTTGTACTTCGAGACAAGGTGATAAAAAGATCGAAACTTCTGTGGTAGCTTGCCGGTGGTCATGCCAACGTTTTACAATTTCATTGATATTTTCCCGACTTGTCTGTCAACAAATAATGTTTTGCTATAAGAGTAAAAGAATAAATATAGAAATTACCGTGCAATTTTTTCCCGATAAGAACTGTCCTTGCCTCGTGAAAAAGCTAAGGAGAAAAGAAAAAAAAAATAACATTCTACTGTGGATGGAAAAATTGTATCTAGCAAGATTTGACCCTGACTTGGCTGGCTTCGCAATTTATTTTAACTCTTTTGAATGTTAAACTATTTAAGAGACTAGAAAAATCAGCATTTAAACGTTTAGGCCACCTGAAATTCGCATACACAATTTTGGTGTCCAAATTGCGAGTTAGGATTCTTCGAGTGCAATTTTTAGATGATGGAACCAACGCAAAGTAATATCCTCCGGCTAGCCGATGACATTGCTGATTCGTGAATAGTAGATCCTGAATGCAGTTTTCGTTGCTTTAAACAAAATTTGTTTCATGTACAATAAAATGAAGGCCCTCTGGTTTTGCTTATTCACCTCTCAGCAGGTGACGCGAGCGAAAAATCGTCGCGAGGGTTTATTTGCGGCACTCGTTGTCCTACAACGCTTCTCCTCAACGCCTTCAATTTTTGGCGCACGCAACATGGACATCCTTGGAGCAGTAATAGCTGCATCAAGGCGCTATTAAGTACCTTTACTTTCATCACGTTGGCTCACAATATGGTAACGATTATTTCGCGTCTCGTCCTCTGTGAGAAAATGATAGTGAACGTGTCAAGTCATTTCTGCCATTCTAAGCAAGAACGCCGTAAATCCATCATGATTTTCCCTTGTTTTTTGGAACTTAAAACTTTATAAAATAAATACTACTTTACCCATACACCTTAAATTTTCAGGTTAAGTTCTTCATGGTATTGGCAAAAGAATTCTGTAAAAACATTGTCCCGAGGTGCACAAGTTTTTCTGCTATGATACATTGTTTCCAAAAAATGAAAAATAGCGTTTACGGCGTTTTTGCGTTGCATGGCAGATTTCTGGGGAAATGCAGTGGTTCTTGAAAATTGGCAACACTGTTTTTCCTCCATTCAAATGTATGAGAAACAATCGATTCTTGGCGAGGAAAATTGCCTCACCTAATTTCGATATTTCTGCTGGATTCAATCGGGGAAAACAGTGTTGCCAAATTTCAACGATCGCTACTGAGAAAATGAGGGATGAACCTCTTGAAGAAGGACTCGTTCCAGTGGTGTGGGGTGCTTTGCGACACATCGATTAATCTGCCATTTCAACCTATGGAAAAGGACCGATAAGCAGGGTGTCGCAATGAAGACCATAATAATCACCGTTTCAATGGTGTAAAATGTCCCCTTGAAAACTGCATTTTCACAAGATGACTGTCAGGCATTCCTAACTGAAAATTTTACTGATAATTTCCTCTACTCATTTGCATAAATGAAGAAAATTCCGGACACAGATTACACGGGACACTATGTTAAATTTGACTGTTTTAATCAATTTCGCAACCTGTGAGCGGAGTTACATCCTTTCGTCTGATCATTTAATCTATGACGATTCGACTAGACGAAACAAACCCCTATCCTAACCACACAATACTTAACCATCGCATTTCGATCGTTTCGTCGGATCGAAATCAGTGGCGAGACGTGAATGATCGACTATCGATATTTCCCCATTTGATGCAATGATAAAGAATCGATTATTGAGGTGTTCGTTGCAAACGCACTGTTCATCGATCCTTTTCCGTAGGTTTAAATGACAGATCAATTGATGTATTGCAAAGCACACCGCGCCACTGATCGACATAGTTTCAATAATCGAGCCGATGGAAAGAGACGATGTAGACCGCCGCGAGTTGGTCAACGCAAACCATATTGTCTCCTGCTCTCGACATAGCGACCAACCCGCAATCCCGCGCTCTTAATTTGGACGCATTTTAAATCAAAAGGCACTATCTTTATAGTAACATGAGTCGCGTAATGTATGTGTCGTAATGGGTCTCAGGGCTCACGTTAATAGACAGTTTCTTTTGATTTAAATGCGTCCATTTGATTTCCGCCGGGAGCGCCGAGCGGCGTCTCGTCGAAAACGGACAGGTCCATTTTGCCGTCCAAAGGAAAAACACTCCATGAAAGCTCCAGCGTTGTCAAAATTCCTTCGATAAAATACGAATTATCAGACAAAATTGTGAATATTTTCCCATGAATTTTTCCTATAATTTAATTTGCAATTTATACGGAAATATCTGAAAATCACATGGAAAAATGATCGTTGTTTCCGCCAAAAAAATTGAAATTTTGCCGGAGAAAATCTGGCAACGCTCGAAAGTTCATACGGCTCATCCGAAACGGATAGGTCCATTAGTCTGCCGTCTCTAAAGGAAAAACACCGCGTGAACACTCCAGCGTTGTCAAAATCCATGCGATGAAACACTATTATCAAACGAAATTATGAATATTTTTCCTCGAACTTTTTCAAGGGTCCAATCCGCAATTTAATCTGAAATATTTTATAATTTCGAGGAAAAATGATCGTGCATGGTTTTCACCGAAAAATTGAAATTTTGCCGGATTACATTTGGCAACATTTGAAAGTTCATACGGCGTTTTTTTATGACACGGCAGCTTCGGATCGGCGTGTTTGAGTCATAAGCGATGACATCAGGCCGGACTCTGGCCGATTATGTCGTTATCTCGTTAGCGCGAGGCTCCGTGTAAAGGCCACTGTACCGGTCAGTTTGCATATACTGTGCCGTCGTGCAAGGATGTTGAGTTTGCGCGTTTTTTCCGTCGCGGCCTTTGCTGTCGCTGCCGTCGCGACGGTCGTCGACGCCGGGAAAGTGATCTGCTACTACGATGGATGGTCTTACCATCGAGAGGGTAATTTCCACCCCTTTGTTATTTTAACCGGCTCACTGCGCTGCCGTGCTGAGGAAAAACGCCTTAAGCGCCGAAAAAAATAATGTGCTGTTTTAGCATCCAGGATGTCAAAAATGTGTCTGGTGATCCCAAGACGCTGCCTTTACTGCCCCGCTGTTGAATTTGCATTCATAGGATGTAAAATTAACTGCGGGGGCAGTAAAGACAGCATCTTGGGATCACCAGACACATTTTTGACATCTAGGTGCTAAAACAGCATATTATTTTTTTCGGTGTGAACCTTAAGGCGTTGCCAAATTTCCTTTGATAAAACACGAATTTCCTGGTAAACGTATGAGTACTTTCATTCCAATTTTTCAGATAATTTAGTTTGCAATTTTACCTAAAGATTCTGGAAATTTCAAGTAAAAATATTCATAACCTTCCTCACAAATAAACATTTTATTGAAGGAAATTTGGCAACTCTCGAATGCTTATACAGCGTTCTTCCTTAGCACGGCTGTGCGGAGCAAAGTCAATAAGAAAAGTCTGACAACATTCGAAACTTTCAAAAGCTCATGACTCCGTGAATACAAAGCGTTCCGATTTTGAAAGTGAACTCACTGGTTTTCTCGTGAAAGTTTTTCCAAGAAGCATTCCTCAAAATTTGAAATGCGTCAAAATTGACATAAAACATAATTCACACATTGACATAATTCTCCATTGGAGAATTTGCACACAAATATTTTATTGCTTCATATGAGAGTGCCTAATTGAGCTGAGTTCGCAGTATTTTCCATAATTTTTTTCTGACATGGGAAATCGGAGAAAAATTGATTTAAAAGTGAGAAAAAGTGCCGCTTTATGACGTCATTCTAGCGGCATTTTCCATTTAGACACATGTAATGTAACAGATAAGGTTATTTTGTCATATTTTCTCCAATAATTGTCCGATTTAGAAACCAAGGATATCCTCGTACTCGATTTTCCCAGCAGCATCATTTTACAGATGAAATCCACAAAATTTCAGACACCTAGCTGCAAATTCTTTATTCTCAGTTTTAATAGAAAAATTAAGGTCCGACCTCTTCCAAAGCCTTGTCTCACGGGTGGGGATCTCAGTCCACGGAGCACAAGCACAGTGGATCGAGTCAATGAGAGAAGTTGAACAACATTTGAACCTTTAAAAGCCTATAACTCCATTCACACAAAACTTTGGGGTCTTGAAAATGGTTTCATTGGTTTCCTCGCAAAATTTGCTTTCAGAATCAACCTGTAAAATTTAAAATATGACGAATCAAACATTGAAATTTGCAGTTTTAGCTAAAAAATTCCATGTCCGACCTCTCTGATTGACTCGATCCACTGTGCGAAGGCGAGATTTTCAGGAGACCAATTTGCCAATGTTACGCAAGAGGAAAGTCAATTGTTGGGCTCAAGCGGGCAAATTAAAATCGGAAGGAACTGTCTTCAGTGATACGAAAAGTTAAAGAAAAGTAAAAATAAAAAATAAAATAAACCCGCAAAATATGGGTATAAACGAGGAATGAAATCTTTAAAACATCTAATTTTTAGCCTTGGTTGCCTATATTTCATGTGTGTTTATTCCTTTATATATCTATTTCATTACCATTGAAACTGCCATAATTTTTATTTTGTATCACATTTTCAGTAGGTTTTTCGTGCCGAAATGTTTGAAAGATACTCCTGTAAACCTCATTATCATAACTCAAAATTGAGTCTCTGTGAAGCAAGGTCCTTTTTTCGGTCGCGTCGGTCGTATTCTTGATAACTTCTTTTCACCATTATTTACGATCAGCGAGTCTAAGTTTTCAACTGAAACACGGCCAATGTTTTTCTGCTTTCATTCACAACATTCCTTACCATGGTGCAGATCGATGAAGGAGGTCAAAAACTCGTTTCCCACTCACGATGACGTCTTAAAATATACACTGTAAATAAGAACGAATGAGCATCCCTGTCTGAAACTTTCACAGAATATTCTGTGGGAACTGAAGAAAAATCCGTAAAAATTCCTGAAAGTATGTTCATTTGGTATAATTTTGAAAAATTAGATGTGCAACGTAATACGTATTTGTGATATAAAATGTTTTAAATACGGAATAAATGTAGAATTTGCACGAACAAATTGTATTGCTACATCTGAGAGTGTTAGTGAGACGAGTTTGCAGTATTTTTTATAATTTTTTTCTGATATAGGAAATTTTAGAAAAGAAGATTTAATAGTGAGAAAATGTACCGCCTTATGACGCCACCATAGGCGGCATTTTCCGTTTCAATACATGTATTCCAGCAGGTGAGGTCATTTTGGTCATATTTTTCTAGTAATTTTTCTATTCTGAAACCAGGGATGTTCTCGTTCTCATTCTCAATTCAGTCAGTAGTAAAGTTTCATTTTTAACGTAACCTCATTCAAATTTTAGATACCTGTAGATTCTCCGTTGACGCAAAGGCACCGTTTCACAGTTTACTCGCGTGCCTTTATTTTCCTCGGAACTTTCAGTTTTTCATGGATCATAGTGGCGTAATTTTTCTAAAAGCACCCTGACCCAAGTAATCCCCCCCCCCCTAAAGTACTCAACACGACATATGAATATGTCGTGATTAAGTTCAAAAAATAATCTTATCCGTTTTTCGAGTTAGAAGACAGGAATAATGTTTGCGTCAACATTCCATTATTAACTTCATACATATATTGACCTATGTGCATTGCCCGCTGCTCAACCTATTGTCTTTAAAAAGAGTTAGTTAGTTATTATAATTTTAAGACATTCAGCGTCTCAGAACATAAATGATGCTGTATTTTAGACATGTATGCTGCAATGGGGTGGGTTCAGACGGGAAAGTACAGCAATGTATTTGTCGTTGTGACGGTTAATAGAGCATAATATTGTGTGTATACTGTGTTCATTCTTCAATTACCTCGTCTATCATAATCATAATAATATTATGATAATAGTTATCGAGGACGTGGGTCCGTGCATAAGATTGGCACCAGAGTGTATCTATCATTGACCTCTTCAATTTACTATCATTGATTCCGGGGCAAATGCCACTCTACATTTCTGCTCCTATTCTCGCTGCCATCCTCACCCGTGTGTCTGAACGATCCATTTCCGTCAGAGAAAAACTTGGATGATTAATGAAATCGCACCAGAGTGAACAGTTTTCTGAGTGAATGAATTTTGGTGTATTTGATGGCACATTAACCAAAATTACGTGTTGAGGCGCCCTCTCAAAGCGAGTAACAAGCGCGAGTGCCTCGCCGCGAAAAATCTTCTGGTTTCCACAAGCATTTTAAAAGTCACCGTTCAAATCGTTTTTGTAGTTATTCATATAAAAAAACCCTTGCTTTGTTGTCAACTGAAAAAAAAAGAGAAAAAATCGGAGAGAGGTCATTTTCGCCGTTCGATCTAAAGGGTTTTTTCAAAAATAATTGTGCACTTTGGTTAAGATAAAAGCTAAAAAATTCCATGACATATTTTTCAGTTAAAATTTTCAGCAGAAAGTGATACTAACACCGAAATGTTTGGGGATCAACTCCTAAATAAAATAGAAAGTATCTGTGATCGACGTTAGTTAAATGGCAAAAGTCGTTGCTCCTTCAACGAAAGGGCGTCTCTCAATCTCTACATAAGCCTCGGAGAGCATGCAGTAATATAGGAAATAGTAGGCTGATTATTATTAAAATTGATAGACAAATCTATAGACAAAGAGGACAAAAAGGATATGGAGAGATCCTATTGGTGGAGGCGGGTGGTCGCGATGGACAAAAGGAGGTAGGTTATAGACTAACTTAAGGCAACCCACGAGAGACCATACAGTCAGTCCATCATTTACTCCCTTAGTCTATAGGAACCACCCATTTCAATCACTAGGATCGCTCCATACTCTCTATATATTCTTTGTCTTTCAATTACAAGAATCAGCCCGGGTATTGAGGAACCCTTTTACGCTAGAGGAGCGGCAAAACATATAGACTTCATTGGTACGATTTGTGTTCCATCGAATCAGTGTCAAATGGGAAAAAATTGCAATAATGATCTACCATTTCTATCTCATTCATGAAAGCGCATATCTGCATAGGTAAACTGATGGCACACACGCTGTTTCTAAAATGAGCCAGAAATATCAACTACATATTGCAAAATGAGGTCTAATGAGGAGTTGATTTTTAAACTTTCCGTTGCCGTCGCTTTGAATCAATCCCCACGTATTCTGTGGGAGAAGCACCGAAAGTGATGCTTTATTTCATGCCCTTGTGCCCTGTCTAATGATCTATTGAAAGAGGATAATATTTTTAATTCCTGCTGGTCACTCAATTGTCCCGAAAATCGCCCTGAAATTAAATAAATGTTGCATAAATCTCGCAACATTTCAAATACATGCGTCCTTGTCAAGGTCAATAGGTCTCGAACAAATCAGTCATCTGCGATGAGAATATGAAAAAATGCATGAAAGCAAAACGATTTACCCCTGGCACTAGGCTTTGTTGTCGGTGTGGATACAGAAAAAGTAATGACACAATTTCCGCAACGGACCAGCTTTATTCTGCAAGTGACGTAATTATGTGAGGTCGCGTCTGTCTAATGTCTGTTGAATCATCGCATCAGTGGCGAGGCGTACTTTGCGATATATCGATTGATCTGCCATTCAACCCCATGGAGAAGGATCGATAAAGAGGGTGTCCGCAACGAACACCTCAATAATCGATTCTTTAACATAGGTTCAAATGGGGAGATATCGATGGTCGATCATTCACGCCTCGCCACTGCAATGCATGAGGGTGAGAGCTGATTGAATGGAACGTGCGTGGATCAAACTAAAAAGTTTGCATTAATGGTGTTCTCCAATTTTTCCGATACCAAATCAGTTTGCACTGTGAGATGGAGATGATTTTCCTAAAAATGGCCGTGCCTGGACCAAGATTAATACTTTTTTTTTTTTTTTACCTCGAATGCGCAATTTAGTGTCATCAAACGTTGAAATACTGGTCTTTTGGAGCCATTTTCAAAGTTTTGGATATCGATGGTTAAAGTGCGAGACAACGTTTCTCCGTTTGCAACGTTGTAAGACTTCCAGTCATACTTTTTTCCCCCTTGGAAAACTAGTCAGCGTAATTTCTTGAAAACGTCCTTGATTTTTCCTCTTCACTGGCAAAATATTCTGTATAAATTTCAAGCTGTAAAGCTGACTTGTTCCTTTTCGAAAAAGTAAACCAGGAGCGGAGTTTTTTAAATATTGCGATGGAAATACGTGCGGTTTCGCTCTTTGGCCATCGATTTTTGTTTCGCCAAATGAAGGAGCACTAACTTCGGTGGCGAGGCCTGAATAATCGATTATGGATATCTTCCTATTTGAAGTTGTGTGGAGGAATCGATTATTATTAAGGGGTTTGAGCGTGTTCGTGGCGAACACCTTCTTTTTCGATCCTTTTCCATATGTTTAAATGGTAGATCAATCGATAAATTGCAAAGTACGCCACGCCATACTGATTAATTTCTGCTCTTGGTTATTGTACCCTTGTTTTAGTTTATTTTTCCTACCCAGACCTAAGGAGCAGTGATCGCGATAAGTTGCGATTTGGTTGTAGAACGCATCGCGATTTTATTGACGCCACTTTTTTGACATTTAATCGGACAAAAGATCTTGATAAATCGGGATGAAATTTCGATTTTATCGAACGCAATTCTGTAGAGATAAAATTTTGATCAAGATTTAGGATAATCGCTCAGATGTTGATGATCCTAGCAATGTTATGGTAAAAAAATCGTAAAATAATCGCAAGTTAATTTAAAAATATCGCGAGTTTTCCGTTGAAAAATGCTGCATGGGGCAGGGCCGGATTAAGGGGGTGGCCATATGGGCCGCGGCCCATGGCGGCAAAATGTAGGGGGCGGCAAATTTTGCAATCTTTTTGAATGTAGGTATCAAAAAAAGAGAGGAAAAAATCGGATTCAGAAAATAAATTACAAACGAGAAAAGGCGACAAAATCTCTCGTTTCCTGAGAGTGAAAGTATAGTAATTTCTCATTTTGTCGTCTTTCGGTGATACAAGAGACAACACCTTTAGTTAGTCGAGTTAAGAGAGAAACAAACATGTAATTTGACCTGGAACGGAGCGGTGAGGCGGTCGGCATGAAACGCATAGCGCCTACAAGACTGCATGAATACTTCTCGCATTGCGCCAAAAAATGTGGTCAGCAGCGGTCGGCGTGAAACGCATAGCGCCTACAAGACTGCATGAATACTTCACACATTGCATCAAACACACTGCGGTCAGTAGCAGTCGGCTTGAAACGCATAGCGCCTACAAGACTGCATGAATACTCCACGCATTGCGCCAACACCGTGCGGTCGGCGCGGCGGTGGAAGTTAAAATTATTAACCACAATTGTTTGTACTTTCAAAATTTTTTCGTTCGTTTTTTATACATGGAAGGCCTTGTCCAAACAGGGATGGGCTTACGGAACTGAACTTTTGTTAGTGTTGACAGGGCTTTCACAAAAAATGTGCCCAACACAAGTAAACGCATCTCATACACCCGCTCTCCCACCGGTACGTTCACTTGCTTGTTTTTCTAGATAGTATTCGAGAGATCACACAGGTGAGATTACATTGATTTCGATTGGTTCAATATGTAACTACAGCCTCAAGAGTCAATTCAAAAATCTGAGGTAACGGGTCTCATATGATCGAATTTATATTCTCTCGAGTACCAAATGGCAATGAAAAGTGAAATTGTTAGGAATTTTCTCATTTTCAGCTTTTCCAAATTAAATCCTAAAATTTTTGTTTGAGGTTATGTTCTATTGTTTTGAACCAAACGATACATCGAAACACTGTCGAATACGATCTATTGATGTTTCAAAACGAACGAGAAGGGGGCGGAAAAATACAGGCGGCCCATGGGCGGCAAGTAGGCGAATCCGGCCCTGACTTGGGGAGAGTTTTTTATGCGCGACTCTATCATATATTGTTCTTTTGTACCATGCAATATTCTCAAAAGTCAATTACAAAACAAAAATCTGTAAATATCGCACTTGATCCATTCCTTTCTTAAGATGAAAGTATATTTAAACACGTATGTCATGTCTTTTTGTTTCTTAGGAGTGGCAAAGACCTCAAACATCACAGAAGCAGCCACACTCTGTGATCAGCTGTACTACGGCTTCTACAAAATAAACTCGGACTATGAACTCGAAACCTCCTACAAATACCCTTACGTGAAGGGCGCCAACATCGCGACAGCAAATAACATGAAAGCGATCAACCCTAACCTGAAAGTACTTCTAGTTGTGGGCGGAAATGTGCCCAACAAAAAATCGGACCGAGCTCTGAGTGTGGTAAAGTTTATTTCATTTCATTTATCATTAAATCAATTCTTCAGTTGTACACGGCGTTTTCTGAAATCTTCAGCATTTCTTCGTCTCTTGATGAAAGAGGACGGCAAAAATATGATGAACTTAGAGCGCTGGTTGGCTGAACCACTACGAAATGGGCCGCGTTTAGCAGAAAGGAACCAAGCCACACCAACTAAGGCCTTTAACTGGGAAATTCAATTTTTTACAAGAAAACGTTTCTGCGGATTCCTTTGAAAATTTCAGGAATTTGATTCGCAATGTACAGAAAATTCACCGAAATTTTTACAAAAATCCGCACAGCCATTATTATGTAAAAAATGAAATTGCCCGATTGAATTCGGTCATAGCTGATGTGGTTTGGTTCCTTTCTGCTTAACGCAGTCTGAATACGGCGGCTTTAAGAAACAAAGAAGCCTTACGGTTCCTAGTCGGAGTGGAAAAACAGTTAGTCTCTCCCGTGAAGTTTTTACAACAATTTTTGCTAAACCTGCCTAAAACACAAACCTTTGAACAGATTAATTTCTTCGCCAGTGACAAAGACACATAAAGTATACCTGTACTGCCGTGCTGGGAAGAACGCCGTATGAAACTTCAGGTGTCGCCGAATTTCCGCCGATAAAGAATGAATTTCCTAGTAAACTTACGAATATTTTTCTTCCAATTTTACGGATAATTTTGTCCGCAATTTAACCTAAAGTTCCGGAAAATTTTAAGGAAAACGTTCATAGCTTTCCTCAAAAATAGACATTTTATTGAGGGAAATTTGGCAACTCTCGAATGTTCATACGGCGTTCTTCCTTAGCACGGCAGCGTAAAGGTACCGTACCATTGAGCGTTCAGGGTATTGATGTTCACCATACCCTGGTCATCGTAGCTCCCCGTGGACCGGCGACGCAGAGTCAGCCGATACATCTCTCCGTCCATCATGTGTTATTGGCTGATCGACGGCGGCGACCTCATTTTCACCGGCGTTGCCAATCCTCGGCGGAAACCCGCGAATTTCCATTCAATCTCAACGGGGATAGATTCCATTCGGCACCAGCGCCGGCCGGCGCTCCCGCGATCGGTGTCCGATTTTGCGGCCGGGCGGTGTGAAGCCGATACGGTGATTGAGCATTTTGTGAATGGGGCACGGGCGCCCTAGGAACCAATGGGCGAGGTTCGGGGGGTCCGGGGGGGTCC